TGTCAGGGAGCCGCGCTGCAGGAGCAGGACAGGAGGCGGCTTCTCTTCTGGGTTCTGGCGTGTTTCCTCTCTTCCTGTTGCTGCAGCACAGATGACCTGCTGTGGTGCTCACCTGAGTCAGCTCAGCAGCACCCTCACAGGTGGTTCCCAGGAGGGTCTAGAGCCCCAGCCAGCTTCCTACAGAGAAAGCACAAGGCCCCCTCCGCCCCGCAGCAGCTTCCTGACAAGGTGGCCAGTGTCCCAGCTGGACCCCAAAGGCACTCCTATAATAGAATTTGTCAGCACCTCACTGCTAGCAGAGGGCTACAGCCAGGCTGAATCTCACTTTAAGGGGAGAAGACCCTTGTCCACATGTGTTCCTTCCCTGGGAGGTCTGGCTCAGTTCTAGGCAGTAGCTGCTCCTTGTGTCTGCTCTTCCTGTAATCTTGGGACTTTCTTAACCCTTCATAGTAACGAATCCTCTGCTACTAGTTAATAGTTCTTCCTATTATACTTTCACTCTTCAAATTACTGGTCATTTCTGTTTTCAGTATCTTTTAAAAAATATATATTTTATTATTTTTTTACAGAGAGGGAGGGAGAGGGATAGTTAGAAACAAAAGAAGCATTGATCAGCTGCCTCCTGCACGCCCCCTACTGGGGATGTGCCCGCAACCAAGGTACATGCCCTTGACCAGAATCGAACCTGGGACCCTTCAATCCACAGATCGATGCTCTATCCACTGAGCCAAACCAGTTAGGGCTGTTTTCAGTATCTTATCATTGATTACAATACTCATATCCAACATGGATATGTTCACCAAAATGTAAGTACAAGAAATTTCTTAGCCGTAGCTGGGTTGGCTCAGTGGATAGAGTGCTGGCCTGTGGACCAAAGGGCCCTAGGTTCAGTTCCAGTCAAGGGCAGGTACTTTGATCGCAGGCTACTCCCCGGCCCATGCCCTGGTCGGGACTATTATAGGAGGCAACCAATTGATGTGTTTCTCTCACATTGATGCTACTCTCTTTCTTTCCCTCTCTCTTCCAATCTCCCTAAAAGTCAAAGTTCTTGGGTGACACTTAACAAACAAAGAAATTTCTTAGTGGCATTATTCATAAGAGCCCAAATCTCCATCACCAGAAGAAGTGACAAATAAAGAGGAGCATTCATACAAGGTACATTCATGTTAGTGCAATACAGCAATGCCAATGAATGAACTACAAATACATGTAACAACACAGATGAGCTGACAAATATAATGCTGAGTGAAAGCAGGAACCAAAGAAAACATTCTGTATGGGCTGGGAGCGGCCAGGCCCGGGGGAGCAGCCGGGTTGGGTGCGGCCAGGCCCGGAGCAGCGGCTGCCAGGCTGGGAGTAGCCAGGCCCGGGGGAGCAGCCGGGTCGGGTGCAGCCAGGCCCGGAGCAGCGGCTGCCAGGCTGGGAGCGGCCAGGCCCGGAGCAGCAGCAGCCAAGTCCAGAGCAACTAGGTCGGGAGCGGCAGTGACCAGACCCGGAGCAGCTGGTTGTGGAACGAACCAGAGCAACAGAGGCCAGGCCCTGAGCAGCCAGGCCCGGAACAGCTCGCTCCTCGCCTGCCCCTGCCCCACGGCTGCCTCTCAGACATGGCTGGAAACTTTCGCGGGAACTTGAGGGTCTGCTGAATCAAGTGATGAAGGCTTAGATCTGGATGTGTTGAGTTAGTATAGGGCTGGGGTGTTGATCTGTGAGTGCCTTGGGTGGGGCCTGGATGAAGCTAGTTGACCTATTGGGAAATGTCTTTTGTGTGAAGTGTATTTTGGGGCATATGGAGGTATTATTGATATGAGAAAATGCTAAGTAACTGATTTACTATCTGAAAAGGGATTTACTATCGGGGAAAGGGAGGGAAGAAGAGACTGAACATAAACTGTGCACCTATGGATGAGGACAATGGGGGATGGGGAGGGGGTAGAGGGTGGGGTGGGAACCTAGTGGAGGGGGGAAGAAATGAGGAACCTTTGTAATAATATGAACAATAAAGATTGATTTTAAAAAAAAGATTTAACACTTATAAATCACTAGAATTTTGCTCTTTGAAATATAGCAAATTGACAAGGGATAGTTACTTAGCAAACAGGGAAGACGGTATATGTTTTTGGCTCACCTGCTTCAATGTATAAAGCAGTTAATGTTTGTGTGGTTTTCTTTTTTACTAAATTTATTGGGGTGACATTGGTTAATAAAATTGTATAGATTGCAAGTAAAAAAAAAAAAGAAAACATTCTGTATGATTCCAGATTCCATTTATATAGAACTGCCCAAACAGGCAACACTAATCTCTAGTGCTAGAAGAAAAAAGCACTTACTTCCAGAGGGGATAGTGATTGGAAGGGACAAAGGTGTTCTGAGAGGCTGGTAATGTTCTGTTTCCCGCCAGTGCCTTTTTGATGTTTGGATTAAAAAAAAAATCATCAGACTGAAAAATACTACACATTTATTGACTTTGTGAGGTGTGAATTATTTTACTCAAATAAGAAGACAAGCTCATTTATTTACTCAACAAAGTGTCTGTACATATTAGATACCAGTCGCCATATATGATGCTAAGGATCTAGAGATGAATTAGTTATTCTTGATTCTGGTCCATCAAGGGGCCAGAGGGAGAGGAAGACTGACATGAAAGCAGATAACTACAATGCAACCCGATTCCTGGAATGGTTTAGGGGTGGATGGAGCGCTGGAGCTATAGAGGAAGAAACTGTGAACTGAAAAGCTACACACAGAAAGCTTTTGTGAGCAGACAGTTCTTCTCTTCAGACATCCCATTGTCGAAGATGTCAAATAGGCAGTTGGAAACTTTGATTTAAGACATGAGGAACATTGGGGCTGTACATATATGTATGTATGTGTAGGTTCACAGTTACATATGGTGATGGTTGAAGTTGCAGAGATGAGATCACCAATAGAATGTGTTTGGGCTAAATAGGAAGGGCCAGATGATAGAACTCTGAAAGGAGAATTCGAGTGGACAGAGAAGGAAAAGCCTGTAAAGAAAACTGAATAAAAGGTAAGTCAGAGAAGTAGAAAGAGAAAAAGGAGAGTCTTATGAGCAGAAGGACAAGAGAATGTCAGAGCATTGACTTTCATTGTCAAAAGCCATTTGCGAGACCAAGTAAGACTGGTACAGTACGTTCTCACTTAACATCATTGATAGGTTCTTGGAAACTGTGACTTTAAATGAAACGATGTATGTAATGGCACACACAAACTAATTGGTAAAATTCTGTGGCACACCAAAAATATATATATTTTTTCCAATCTGAGAAAAAAAGTATAATTTTGACTCATTCACATCACATAGCTATTGTGTTGGCTGTTGTCATTTTTTAAATTTGATAATCTGAAAGAAAAGAGGTGAGTGTCCTGACTAAATAGTCAGGTATTGCACATTTTAAAAATTCTTGCAACACACCAGCGTGCTTCTTGTGGCAAGTGGGCTGAAAATCGCTGCCCTAGGCCAGTGGTCGGCAAATTCATTATTCAACAGAGCCAAATATCAACAGTACAATGATTGACATTTCTTTCGAGAGCCATATTTTTTTTTTTTAAATTTAAACTTCTTCTAATGCCACTTCTTCAAAATAGATTCGCCCAGGCTGAAAACCGACTTCTGCTCATGGGCCACGAAATTTCAATCACACTGTACGTGCGCGCCCACATGTAGTGTTAGGTGGAAGAGCTGCACTCAAGGGGCAAAAGAGCTGCATGTGGCTTGCAAGCTGCAGTTTGCCGACCAGTGCCCTAGGCTGATACAAGCAAGAATTAAGTTGTAATGGCATCTTATAAACATTATAGTTAAACGACATTAAATGAAACAGTATTCAAAAAATTGCTGTATATGGTTTTGGCAATTAAGAGGTCAGTAGAACTCAAAATTAAACTATTTTAGAAAATCTGGCTTTGATCAGAAAAGGCTGCGAATATAGATTAGTCTTTAAAGATATTTGGTGGTAAAGTGAAGGAGAAAGAGAAATTACTTTGAGCATGACTGTAGCTAAGGGGAAGGAGAAAAGGAACAGTAGGGTGGCAGGAGGTCCCAAAGTCAATGGGGTGGGTTAGAGAAGTCTCCAGAAACAATTGTTTTGTAGGTATCTGCTCTTCTAAGTGAGGTCCTTAGACGCGCAGCATCAGCAGCACCTGGGAACTTGTTAGCTATGCAGAATATCAGGGCAAATTGCAGGTGTAATGGATCAGAATCCACATTTTAACAAGATCCACAGGTGATCATAGCTTGTAATCCTCACAAGAGGTAAGATTGTCATTATTGCTAACTGGGCATTATTGCTCCCGGGTTTTTTTGTTTTTGTTTTTGTTTGTTTTTACCAATAGTGAGACTAAGGCTCGAAGAAGCTACCTGAGATAGCAGAGCTGATTAGCCGCTGAGCCAACATTCAATTCCAGCACTTTCTGATTCCAATGCTCCTTTCTAAAGGCAGAAAAGTAATTTCAGAGGAATTTTTGCTTTCACTCAATTGTTTCAGATGCTAGAACGCCGCCAGCGACCAATCACCGGTCTGCAGCTCTCGTGCCGCCCCCTGTGTTTGTTGAGGCAGTGACACTCGCACGCCTCCCTGAGCCCTTGGCATACTCGCCGGAAACCACCTCGGCAGGGTTGGGAACTACACTTCCCAACAAACCCTGCGGCTTCCTATCGCGAGAGGCGTGACGATAACCTCGCTTCTCTCTCTTTCCTCTCTAGTGGAGGGTCCCAGCAGCGGCGGGGCACGTCCCAGCGTGACGTAAGGGCGCGCGGCATCCTGGGACATGTAGTCTGGCTGGGACCAGAGCGCCCCCTCGAATGAATGGGGCCGGGGCTGGCAGTGAACTACAGCTCCTCTAGCCCGGAGCGTTGGCGGTGGCGCCGCCGGGGAAGAGCCGCGCTCCGGGAAGGGACGATGTTTTGTGCCGCCGCAGCCGCCGAGGTAGTGGTCTAGGCGGGCGCTTCCTCCGCGCGCTCGCTCCCCTTCCCCGCGCTGACCATGCGCCCGCTCTTCGCGGTGGGCCTGGTGTTCGCCGGCTGCTGCAGTAACGTGATCTTCCTGGAGCTGCTGGTCAGGTCAGTGACCCCCGCGGGTCCCTGGGCTGCACCGAGGAAGCCGGAGGGGCGTCCCCACGCGTCTCCCCCACGCCCCGCGGGTTCGGCCCTGCGCCGCCTGGGACCCTGAGAGCCCACTCCTCCATCCTGCGCAGGCTCCGTCCGCTGCCCCAGCAAATAGTTTCACAGCACCCCTCGCAGGAAACACACGGGGTGTTGCTGGCATCACCCCTTTTTCACACACTTGGGGGATTGAGTCCGGGAGAACTTCTCACGTGACTGGGCAGAATCTTGTGGCCGCAGAACCCAAGGTTCCTCTAGCTCTTTTCTCCAACTGGGTGGTAATTAATGCCACGTTTGACTGGAGCACTGGACCAAAGCTTTTCGACTTAGAATGCAGTCTGATTTTGTACACGCTGCAAAGAAAGAGTCACGTGTGTTAAAGTGCCTGCAGAGCATTTGTTTGTTACCCTTATAGAGTAGATGGCCATGAGTACTTTGCCCAGACACTACCTCTCAGTGATGTAGGTGAATCAGTTCTTATTTATGAATATGGTCCGTCTAGTGGACTCAAGAGAGCATTTCCAGCTTTAAGGTATTAGTCTTTAAACTGGGAGGCATGTGTTTTGGGACGTAACTTCGTAAATTTAAGATTGGGGGAGTAGATAAAAACAGCTGTGGTGCATTTATATAATGGAATACTACTTGGCTGTAAAAAAAGAAAATCTTACCTTTTGCAACAGCTTGGATGGACCTGGAGAGTATTATGCTAAGTCAAATGAGCCAATCAGAGAGAGAGAGAGAAATACCATCTGATCTCAGGTGTATGTGGAATGGAATCAACGCAATCATTTGACAAACAAAATAGAAACAGAAGCATAGGTACATAACAGATTGACAGCTGTCAGAGGAGAGGAGAGTTGGGGGCTGGGTGAAAAAAGGTGAAGGGATTAAGAAAAAACATAGATATATAATATATGACACATTGGCAGGGTCAACAGTATGGTGATAGCCAGGTGGAAAGGAGGGGTTTGGGAGGTGGAAGTGGGCAAAGAAGAGGTAAGTGGGAACAGAAATATACTGGGTGGTGAGCGCAGGGTGCAGATGATGTTTTTATTGAGTTGTACACTTGTAGCCTGTATGGTTTTATTAATCAGAGTCACCCCAATAAATTCAATAAAAGAAACGAAAAGAAAAGAATGGGGGTGACAAATGGAAGCTTCCAGTGGTGAGCAGGAGGTATTACACACAGATGTCAAATTTCAATGTTGCACACCTGAAACTTACGCAATGTTAGCTTAAAAAAAAAAATTAAAAAATGGCTTTACCAAAGGGAAACTAGGATGGCATGCAAATAATGTTGAGTAATAATGTGCAGTGTTCAATGGGTGCAAACTTACAGAAAAACAACAGGTGTCCTGAAAAAGGCTCAGGACTAAAAAATCTTGAAATTATGAACTTCAGCTGAAACCGGTTTGGCTCAGTGGATAGAGCATCGGCCTGTGGACTGAAAGGTTCCAGGTTTGATTCTGGTTAAGGACATGTACCTTGGTTGCGGGCACATCCCCAGTGGGGGGTGTGCAGGAGGCAGCTGATCCATGTTTCTCTCATCGATGTTTCTAGCTCTCTATCCCTCTCCCTCTCTGTAAAAAAAAATCTATAAAATATATATATATATTTTTTAAATTATGAACTTGATTCTTGGCTTTGTCATACCTTGGTTTGGTGACCTTTTCAAATCATTTTGCTTCTCTGGACCTACTCCTTCTGCTCTAAAATGCTATTTATGGCGCTATCTACCATCATGTTTCGTGTCTACACGTTATCTCCACAGGCCATCAGGACAATCTGTGTTCAATATAGGTCAAGAATTAGAATATCTCTTTTACTGAAAATGGAACAGTTCCCAAGAAGTCAGATGGTCTGTTACTCCTTGTAAGTGGCAGAGACAAAACTGGAATCCAGGATATCTATACTCCTAGTCCAGTAACTCTTTTCAACCTCCCTGTTAATTTTGAACTTGAGCAGGCTATAGGTTTTGGTCACCCAGTTTCTCATGTGGTGCCTACTAGAAATGTCTTTTATTTTCCTGATTCCGTGGGTTAAAGTCATTCTGAAGCAACCAGTTTATTTAAGGTAAACTCTGCGTGGGGTTCATTTTTTCAGTAACTGAGCTTGAAATTTTGTTATGCAGACAGTGTTGATAAAGATCTGTCATTTGACATTCTTTTTAAAGGATAAAGAACCTTTTTTTTTTTTTTTTTAAGAATAGCTTATTGATTTTTAAAGAGAGGAACATCAATATGGAAATGCAACATTGATCAGCTGCCTCCTGCACGCTCCCCACCGGGGATCCAGCCCAAAACCTGGGCATGTGCCTTGAGCTAGAATCCAACGGGCAGCTTTGTGGTGCACAGGTGGAGGCCCAACGAACTGAGCCACACTGGCCAGGGCCATTTGTCCTTCTTGAGAGCAGGTGGTGAGGGATATAGCAATGTATCCTGATGTAAGCTGGTGCATTTCAAAGGAAGGTTACTTTAGAAATCTAATGATTTCTGTTCTTTTATTTTTTAAATTTATCTTTATAATTGAAAGTATTACATATGTCCCCCTTTTTTCTCCATGGACTCCCTCCTCCATCTTCCTCTCCAGGCCACCTCTGCACTATTGTCTGTGTCCAAGGGTTATGCAGATATGCACAGAAGTTCTTTGGTTAATCTCTTCCCACCCCTCACCCCTTCTACCACCCAGCCTTTCCTCTGAGATTAGTCAGTCTGTTCATGCTTCTATGCCTCTGGATCTTTTTTGTTCACTAGTTTATTTTGTTCATTAGATTCCACATATGAGTGAGATCATGTGATGCTTGTCTTTCTCTGACTGGCTTATTTTGCTTAGTATCATACTCTCCAGGTCCCTCCATGCTATCCCAAAGGGTGAGAAATCTTTCTTTTTTACTGCTGCATAGTATTCCATGGTGTAAATGTAATGAGTGGATAAAAAAAAGCTTTTTTCCCCACTCATCTAACTTGGGCTGTTTCCAGATCTTAAGCTATTGTAAATTGTGCTGCTATAACAAAGGGGTACATACATTCTTTCTGATTGGTGTTCTGGGTTTCTAGGATATATTCCTAGAAGTAGGATCACTGGGTCAAGTAGCAGTTCCATTTTTAATTTTTTTGAGGAAACTCCATACTGTTTTCCACAGTGGCTGCACCAGTCTGCATTCCCACCAGCAGTGTACTAGGGCCATAGTTGGCAAACTGCCATATGCGGCTCTTTGGCCCCTTGAGTATGGCTCTTCCACAAAATACCACAGCCTGGGCGAGTCTATTTTGAAGAAGTGGCGCTAGAAGGAGTTTAAGTTTAAAAAATTGGGCTCTCAAAAGAAATTTCAATCGCTGTACTGATGATATTTGGCTCTGTGGACTAATGAGTTTGCCAACCACTGTACTAGGGTTCCCTTTTTCTCCACATCCTCAGCACCACTTGTTCTTTGTTGATTTGTTAATGATAGCCATTCTGACAGGTGTGAGATGATACCTCATTGTCATTTTAATTTGCATCTCTCTGAGGATTAGTGACTAAGCATTTTTTCATATGTCTCTTAGCCAGCTGTATGTCCTTTTTGGAGAAGTGTCTATTTAGGTCTTCGCCCATTTTTTAATTGGATTGTTTGTAAGCAATCTATGAATTTAATGCAATTCTTTCAAAATTCCAATGGCATATTTCACTGATCCAGAACAAATATTTTGAAATTTATATGGAACCAACCATATAAATTTATATGGCAGCAATCTTGAGAAAGAACAGAGTGGTAGGGATCACAATACTAGATATCAAGTTATACCACAGAACCACCATAATCAGAACAGCCTGGTCCCGGCACAAGAACAGATATATAGATTAGTGGAACAGAACAGAGAACCCAGAGATTGACCCAAGCCATTATGCTCGATTAATAATTAACAAAGGAGACAGGAGCATACAGTAGAGTAACAGTCTCTTTAATAATTGGTGTTGGAAAAATTGGACAAATACATGCAAAAAAATGAAACTAGGTCACTAAGTTACACCATACACAAGAATAAACTCAAAATGGATAAAAAACTTAAATGTAAGTCATAGAACCATAAAAATTCCACAAGAAACCATAGGCAGCAAAATCCAAGACACCTCTCATAGCAGTATGTTTGCTGATAGGTCTCTTAAGGCAAGGGAAACATGGGAAAAAATAAACAAATGGGACTATATCAAAATAAAAAGCTTCTGCACAGCAAAAGAAATCATCAACAAATGAAAAGGGAGCCCACTGTATGGGAGAACATATTTGCCACAGATATATCTAATAAAGGGTTAATTTTCAAAATATATAAGACTAAACTAATACAACTTAAGAAATGAAAATTGACTTTAAAATATAAAAACGTGATAAAATCAGGCCAGCCAAATAGAGGTCAGAGAATAATAGTGTCTCATTTGTGTTGAATATGCCATTACATTAAATCTTCTGAAAGGTGGTGTGATGTCAGTTATGCTGGCAACTGAAGGCCCTCTTACTAGTTATGAGCACTCAGCTACATTTCTTTCTTGATCTCCCCAGTCTGTTTGCTCAACAGTAAAAGTGGGGCGGGCGGTGATAGTGCCACTTGCCTCACGTGGATCTGAAGGAGATCTGACACACATTCAGGCTTCCCCTCCCCTCTGACGACTTTTATTTCAGTGCAAGTCTACCTTGTTTTATGGGTTCGTTCCTGAGAGGTTGTGGATAAATGTAACTTTACAGAGTGTTTTCATGCATTATGGAAGCTTCTCCTTAGAAGGCTTTGAATAATGTGTAAATAAATCGTCGCTCATTTATCCTTTTTGGTGAATCTAGATTTTTGCTTACAGCAATGGGTTTCATGAGGAGAGGAGTACATTTATGGCTTTAATGAATGGGACAGCAGATGAATAGCAGCTTTTTCCTGATTTGCTTGGGCAACTCACCCCTTCTCATGTTATAATAAAATAAGAGCTGATTGGACTGGATGGTCTTTACAGTTCTTTCTAGTTTTGGCCTTCTTAGAATTTGTGACTCTGTCTTGGGACATCGCAGCTCATAAATCCTCATAGAGCAGGAACTGTGCGTTTTATATGGCTTCCTTGGAACCATTGGGTGCTGTCATAAGTGGCAAGTAGAAAAATGGAAATACTTAAGTGAATTGCAGGGAGAAGCGAACATTTTAAATCATTTTCCCCAAATTAGAAAACAAATTTAGGTTTTTGTTTCTGATGTTTATACCTGTATTTAGGATCTAAGATGAAATCCAGGCCACAATGCAGTGCAAAGAGCAGATGTGAATGACGGGATAGGCACCAGCTAACTGAGTAGGCAAGGTCTTGTGTGTCTTACACGAGGAAAACAATCTGAAACATTTTCTTTCCCCTCTTTTATTCCAATCAAGTGCCTAGTACTGAGTCAGATAGAATAGTTTCCTAAATCTAGAATATGAGATAGCAAAAGGCATGAAATATATGCCCAATTCTTTCTCTTCAAAGTTGCCTTTTAAAAACAACAAAAATTTGCCCTGGCCAGTACGGCTCGGTTGGTAGGAGTGTTGTTCCATGCACTGAAGGGTTGTGGGTCCAAGTCCTGGTCAGACACATACCCAGGTTGTGGGTTCGATCCCCAGTCAGGGGAGAGGCAACCAATAGATGTTTCTCTCTCATGTGTATGTCTCTTTCTAAAATTGATAAAAGTATATCCTCTGGTGAGGATTTTTAAAAATATATATTTTATTGATTTTTTTTTTTTACAGAGAGGAAGAGAGAGGGATAGAGAGTTGGAAACATCGATGTGAGAGAATCATCAATCAGCTGCCTCCTGCACCTCCCCGACTGGGGATGTGCCCGCAAGCAAGGTACATGCCCTTGACCGGAATTGAACCTGGGACCTTTCAATCCGCAGGCCAATGCTCTATCCACTGAGCCAAACCGGTTTCAGCTCTGGTGAGGATTTAAAAAAAAAATTTATATAAAAAATTAAAATGAAATGAAAAATTGATTCTTGCCAAAGAAACTTCAAAGTCAAAGAAGTTGTTTTCAGTTATGATTATAAATCCTTGATAAATGAATTTCAACAAAACAAGTGATTTAGGGAAAAAAGCTCTTAAGTTTTTACTCTAAAGTTTTAAAATGAATTATTTAAGTTAAAATAAATAATTGGTATCTACACAGCAGTATAGATAATGTTCCTAAAAAGCTCTGTCAGCTCATTTTTTTTTTTTTTTTTTTTAAGAAGAGGCAACCCTGCCTGGAGGAGTTGCCCTTCTGTTAAACTTTCTTTTCTTCTTCTTCTTCTTCTTCTTCTTCTTCTTCTTCTTCTTCTTCTTCTTCTTCTTTTTTAAAAATATATTGTTATTGATTTTTTACAGAGAGGGAGAGAGATAGAGAGCTAGAAATGTCGATGAGAGAGAAACACCAACCAGCTGCCTCTTGCACACCCTCTACCGGAGATGTGCCCACAATCAACGTACATGCCCCTGACTAGAATCGAACCTGGGACCTTTCAGTCCGCAGACCGACGCTCTACCACTGAGCCAAACCGGTTTCAGCATCATTTTTTTTTTCTTAATGGAATCATGTGAGTGCAACAGGGAAATTTAACAACCCTATGGAAATAGAGAACAGAGATTAGGGTTGTCAAGGGGCCGATAGGAAGTGACTCCTGATGGGTATGGGATTTGTCGGAGAATTCCTAAATCCAGGTCATGGTTGCTTAAAGTGAGGCATCCCCACATTCATTCAGGTGCCTGAGTGAAGGCCAGACACTGCCCGGAGCGTGGGGCACCTTCCTCTAGCCATCCCTCTGTGGCCCTGAGTCCTTACTCTCTCCTCCTTCATCCTGTCATCCCGGGGCAGGGATCTCATTCACGTGGGCGTTTCCTGGCAGCTAGCCCTAACTTTATGCACAGTAGGTGCTCCCTAATTTTTTAAAAATTTCTTTATTGATTATGGTATCACATAATTGTCCTCATCCCCCCATTCCCATCCCAAACCCCTTCCCACGTATGCCCTCCCCTGTTGTCTATGACCACTGGTTAGGCTTATATGCATGCACACAAGTCCTTTGGTTGATCTCTGCCCTTTGCCCCCACCCTCCCCTACCTTCCGTCTGAGGTTTGACAGCTGCTTCTCTGTTTCCAGGTCTGTTTCTGTTCATCAATTTATTCCCTAATTGTTCTTTAGTTGAATTGGCCCAAGTTTTTGCAAAGAGAAATGGGAGGGAAAGCAAGGGAGTTTCTTGAGCCCTTGGGCTAAATCTTGGGTTTGGCACGTTATGTATATTTTTCATCATATCCTCAGGACAAGGTTAAAAGCAGGTCCCTTTTGATTTATAGGTGAGAAAAAAACGGTCAATATAAATATATTTTAAAAGGTCACTATATTCAATTGAAGACCTTCTGATATGCAAGATGTGACATTTTGGCATCCTAGAGTCCTCCTCTGCCTTTTTCCCTGCCTGGCAGACACCGCGGGAAGTGTGTTTAAGGGACTGGCTTATTTGCTCTGCAATAAAACCAGTGGGCTAGGCACACATACTGTTCCCATTTAAAAGATAAGGAAACTAGATGCAATCAACTTCCATGCCTCAGGGTGATGACAGCTGCGTCTTGCACGTCACTGTGAATTTTTAGCCGCTGGAGCACAGTAATTCTCAACCCTGTGTCAGCACATAAACATCACCTGTGCCTGTTACACGCCCCCTTGCTCCCTCGCCCCTCCTGGCCTTTCCCCCAGACCTACCTTAGGGTTCTTGGCCTTTGCACTTGAGACTCAAGTGGGAAGCTTTCAACAGTGCAGGACCCTACCCCAGGCCAATCCACTCCGAGCTGGGAGGGGACGCTCCCAGGGCACCTGGTTGTAAGGAGCAGTGAGGTGTGTGGACTGTGCCAAGAACTGTCTACAGCTCAGGTTCCTTCTCTAAATTCACAGTCAGGGCCATGGCTTTAATTGCTCCTTCAATGAGGTGAATGCCTTACATGATTATTTATGGGTTCCTGCAACCTTTAGCCCTGTCCCTGGAACAGAAGAGGGACTAAAAGAAATCACTGAACTGAATATAAAGCAGTAGTTTTCATAGGCAGTGGAGCCTAAAGAGTAGCAACAGTTCTGCCTCAGGTGTAAGCGTAGCTCCGGACAAGAAAGGCCTGTGCTCGAAGCTGTTTATTTTTATGCCTGATGCGTGTATTTTGGAATTTATGTACTTGTTACTGCTACTTAATATTAAAACCACTAACAGCCAAAACCGGTTTGGCTCAGTGGATAGAGCATCGGCCTGTGGACTGAAAGGGCCCAGGTTTGATTCTGGTCAAGGGCATGTACCTTGGTTGCGGGCACATCTCCATTGGGGGTGTGCAAGAGGCAGTTGATTGATGTTTCTAACTCTCTATTCCTTTCTCTTCCTCTCTGTAAAAAATCAATAAAATATACTTTGAAAAAAAATAAAACCATTAACAGAGGATGGAGTTTATTTTAATAAATAGCATTGTGCCCTGACTGGTTTAGCTCAGTGGATAGAGCATTGGCCTGCAGACCGAAAGGTCCCAGGTTTGATTCCTGTCAAGGGCATGTACCTTGGTTGCAGGCACATCCCCAGTGGGAGGTGTGCAGGAGGCAGCTGATTGGTGTTTCTCTCACATCAATGTTTCTAACTCTCTATTTCTCTCTCTTCCCCTCTGTAAAAAAAATAAATAAAAAATAAATAAATAAATAAATAAAAATAAAAATATCAATAAATAAATAAGTAGCATTGTATTAATATTTAGTAATATAATTACATCCCTCTATTCACTAGCTGTGGGTAAATGTGTTGGGTTAAGGTGCAGGATACGAAGGCTGAATTTTGTAATGTGGGGATATGGGTAGTATGGGCAGCCGGGAAGTTCAGGAAAACAAAGGCAGCGAGCTGCTCACTCTGACCTTCCTCCAGTGATTGAGCAGAGCCTCATGGAGGACAAGCTCAAGAAAAACACGAACGGTTTCGGTAACTCCTTTTCAGAGTGCCGCAGGAGGGATGCCAGAAAGAATTCTTCTCTTGTTACACTTTTCCCTAAGTCACCATGAAAGATTCCCCATCCCCTACATAGATCACTGAAGAGCTTCGATGGAATTTCATAAACATTCATTGAGTTCCTAATATATTTTTGTTAACGGTTGTGGAGAACAGTAGACTATACCAGTGTAGACTATAGACTATAGCCCTCATTCTTTTTATTATTGCTTCTTACCCCTCCTCCCACTCCATCTAAAACCCCTTTTTAGATGTTTTTTTCCCTAGTCATCCACCCCCAGACACACTATATATGGGTTTATGTGCTGTACATATATCTGTGCTCTATAATTACAAAATAGTAAGCTTTCCATACCCTAAGAACCAATTTTTGCCCCTGTGAGGGAGCTAAGGCAATGTCCCCGGGTATGAGTCTTTGGTTGACAGTAGTCTTGAAGATTCCTGGTCAGGAGTATACATAGACATTTCTAGGAGACCTGAGCATACGCTGCGTAGGCTGGCTAGGATCCTGAATAAAGTCCTCTTGGTTAAGTGAAGATCTCAAAAAGAACATCTCACTGACCAGTTCCTACAGTTTACCAGGAAGGTTGTGTCATAGTTCCAGGGAGCGTGTATCAGAGTGGTCCTTCCTGACGGCCTGCTGTCTCTACAGAGGAGTGAAATAAGGCTTGGCATTCTTCTCTGTGAGGTATATTGCTAAATGTATGTGATCCGTGGGACATGAAAACTGAGAGGACAGTGGGTGATGGAAATCTATCTCCCTGTTACTCTGAACTGTCCATATAACAAGTCATAGTGGCCTTTATCTCACTTTTTGTGCCTTTTTCTTTTTGTCCCCAACTATGCAGGAAGCATCCAGGATGCGGGAACATTGTGACGTTTGCACAATTTTTCTTTATTGCTGTGGAAGGCTTTCTCTTTGAAGTCAATTTTGGGAGGAAGCAGCCAGCTATCCCAATAAGGTATGTACATTGAAGTCTCTTTTAAACTTTTTTTTGTCTTTTAAAGTAACATCTCCTAAGAATCCAGAAACACCAGTCAAAAAGAATATATCTACCCATTTGTTCGTAGCAGTGCAATTTACAGTAGCTAAGATTTGGAAACTGCCCAAGTGCCCATCAGTGAATGAGTGGATAAAAAAGCTGTGATACCTTTACACAATGGAATGCTACACAGCTGTAAAACAAACAAACAAACAAAGAAACACAACTCACCTTTTGCAGTAGTGGGCATGAACCTGAAGAGTATTATGCTAATCTAAATAAGCCAGTCAGAGAAAGATAAGTATCAAATTATCTCACTGATTTGTGGAATCTAATAATCAAAATAAACTGATGAGCCAAACCGGTTTGGCTCAGTGGTAGAGCGTCAGTCTGCGAACTGAGAGGTCCTGGGTTCGATTCTGCTCAAGGGCATGTACCTGGGTTGCGGGCACATCCCCAGTAGGGGGTGTGTAAGAGGCAGCTGATTGATGATTCTCTCTCATCAATGTTTCTAACTCTCTATTCCTCTCTCTTCCTCTCTGTAAAAAAATCAATAAAATATATATTTTTAAAAATAAACTGATGAATAAAATAGATTCAGAGCATAAAAGCATGCAACAGGCTGACAAAGTTCAGTAGGAAGGGGAAGATTAGGAGGTGGGAGGGTAGAATTAACTGGGGAACTTATATGCATAACCCAAGAACACTGGCAAAAGGGGTGGTGAAAACCTGGGAGAGATGGGTACCAGTTGGAGGGGGTCAATGGGGAAAACAAAAAAACACAAACAGGACATCTGTGATACTTTTAACGATAAAGATAAATTTTTTTAAAAAATTAAGAGTTTTTCTGGTACTTAACGCAAAAGGAATATGAGACATCCATTTATAAGATTTGTATCAAAGATATAGTAGAGTTTATATTTATTTTCTAAATTTAATATGTTGTGAAACTCCAGGAGCCTGTCCTAATATATAAAAAGCCAGGGATCATCACAACCAAACAACCGGATGGACGACAAAACAGTAGGCTGTGTGGGGCGACAAGGCTGTCAGGGGGGTTAGTGAGGGATGACCAAGTGACTGAACAGAAGGCTGCGTGGGGCGACCAGGCCGGCGGGGGGGGGGAGGGGGGCGGGGGCAGTTGGGGGCAACCAGGCTGACGGGGTGGGGGGGCGCGCAGTTGGGGGTGATCCGGCCAGCAGGCAGAGACGGTTAGGTGTGATCAGGCTGGAGGGCAGGGGAGTGGGGCATTAGGGGTGATCAGGCAGGCCGGCAGGTGAGCAGTTAGGAACCAGTGGTCCCAGATTGTGAGAGGGATGTCCGACTGCTGGCAGGATTGTGCCTACACCGGCAGTCGGACATCCCCCGCGGGGTCCTGGATTGGAGAGGGTGCAGGCTGGGCTGAGGGACCACCACCACCCCCATGCATGAATTTCGTGCACTGGGCCTCTAGTATTTAGAATAAAATTCCTATCGCAACACTTTAAATAACTGTGATGGAGACAACAGTGTGTGTGTGTGTGTGTGTGTGGTAGGTGATCAGTTAAAGGCCTAGTGTGATCTCACCAATTTTTTAAATAGTTATGTGTGCTATCCTCATGTTATCACATACGGTAAGAGTGTTATCATTTTTCCTTTTTAAGAAATGAATTCCTTTTGGAAATAGAGGTGGTAGTTGTGCAATATTGAGAATGAACTAAATGCCCCTGAATTATTCACTTTTTTAAAAATGGTTGATTTTATGTTATGTGAATTTCACCTCAATTCAAAGAAAGTGATTGGCAAACTAAGGCAAAATTGTTGATTCCAAACCTCTATCCATTAGTCTATATTTACATAGTTGTACTCATGGGGCCAAATAGCAATTCTTATAATAAACAATGTATTGAAAATGTATTCTTGCTGTCAGAGATTTGAAATAAATATGCAATCCACCTATTATTTAATAGGATAGTATCACTTAATCCCTTTGAGGGGGTCCTTCTAGTATGAATGTATGCGGGGACTGGTTCAGGTTTGTTGTTGGTATTATTTTGCAGCATTCCTGAGTAATCTTACTATAGAAAACCTAGCTGAATTTTGTTATTAATATCATATTTTAAAATTCCCAATGTGATGCTAAATATTCTGAATACATTTTTGTTTGTTTTGTTGGCTTAAAATTCTTTGCTCTCAACTCCAGAATGACATCATGGGGAGCTCCAGCATTTTTTATTTCTTTGACCCTTTCTCTGTTTCCATTCTGGCTGCCAGCGTAGTTCAGGAACCTATTCATTTTCCTCATAACTTTTATAACAGTTCTAGATCCTAGAGGCCCAGTGCACAACATTCGTGCACTTGAGGGGGTGCTCCCTTAGCCCAGCCTGCACCCTTTTGCAGTCTGAGAGCCCTTGAGGGATGGCAGTGGGACATCCTTATTGCTGCCACGAGGCGGGAGAGGCTCCACCACCACTGCTGCGCTCGCCAGCTGTGAGCCCGGCCTCTGTCTGAGCGGCACTCCCCTGTGGGGCGCACTGACCACCAGGGGGCAGCTCCTGTGGTGAGTGTCTGCCCCCTGGTGGTCACTGTGCGACATAGTGACTGGTTGTTCTTGTTCGGTCGATTTGCATATTACCCTTTTATTATATAGAATCCTTCTTCCACAGCCTTTGGCCAGTTACCTCCTCATCTGACATGTCAGCTTCTTACCTTTGTAGTGTGGCACCCTCTCTCACAAGTGCTCAGGGGTCACCATTAAGAATAAGGCCCAAACTCCCTAACCTGCCCTTGGAGGCTCACCATAACCCTTCCCTAACAACCATGCTCCATGTGTCGCATTTGTGCTGGCTTTTTATTTCCTACCTATGAAGCTTTAATGAAAATCTTGCTCCTGTCATTCATTCCTGTGAGCGGTTTCTGGGCAGTGCTATGTTGGCAACAATGTGGAGTAAAGTTGGAATTAATTTCCTGAAAGACCTTAATGAACTCATTTTATCTTTAGATGGCATCTTTTCAAGACAGGGACTAAGAAAGTTTGGCAAGTCACCAATGGTATATGACTTAAAGCAGGGACACAGCTATTGCCAGTAGTCTTTTCATATGTGTGATACGGTTTTTGCATTGATAGGGAAGATAGCTTAGACTTGGTGCCATTGCAGTCTTCAGACGTGCAAAGATGAAGGATGAGATCCCGTCCTTCAAAGATCAGCATTTCGTGACGAACACGGAACTCCCTATTTACCTTTCCCCTGCATTTTTTAGCCATTTATCTTAAACTATTAATAGATGCCTGGTGCATGGGGGGAAAATACCTCAGCCTGGTTTTGCGCCCTCTTGCAATCCAGGACAACTTGGGGGATGTCCGACTGCCGGTTTAGGACCAATCCCCGCCGGAGGCCTGTGGGGGTCGGGCCTAAACCAGCAGTCGGACATCCCCTGAGGGATGTAGCAGTGTGCCAAGCGGCAGGAGGCCAGGGAGGAGCCCGAGCCAGGGCCTGGTGCCATTCGCGCCCATCCCAGCCCGCTCTGCCTGCCTCGGCCGCTTGGTAGTGCTGCCACGGAGTCGGGAGATTCTGCCGTCATAGCTGTGCTTGCCAGCGGTGAGCCTGGCTTCTAGCTGAGCAGCCCTACTCCTGTGGGAACACACTGACCACCAAGGGGCAGCTCCTACATTGAGTGTCTGCCCCCTGCTGGTCAGTGTGCTTCATATAGCGACTGGTCGACCAGTCGTTCCGGTCATTTGGTCATAAGGGTTCCTTAGGCTTTTATATATATACTAGGGGTCCAGCGCGCGAAATCGCATGAGACCCAGGACCCAGAATGCCGTGGCTCAGCGGGACCAGAAAGAGTCCTGCGGCTGTGCCACTGCCACCACCGTGGGAGGCAGGACCCAGAAAGGGTCCCGCTGCCTCTGCCACCGCAGCCACCACAGGAGGCGGGACCCAGAAACCCACCCGCTCCTCCGGTCAAGTCCTCCAGAGTCAGGTTCCCCCCACCTGCGTGGGCCTCCGGTGTACACAGCCCCAAGCACGCAGCCTCCTCTGATCGGTCATTACAGCATGATGGCATGACGACCACAGGCTTTTTATATAATAGATGTGTGTGTGTGTGTGTGTGTGTGTGTGTGTATTGCTTTTTCTCCTATTGAATGTATTAGGCTGAGTAAGATGAAATTACTGATATTCAAACTTTTTGACCTATAAAAGTATGGTAGTTTCATGTGGTTGAATGTGATATATGTATCAAAGGCATCTTAATTTTATTTGGTTCAACCTGGTATGTGTGAGAGGCATTGTAAAAGTATTTTGTAGTTCAAAATGGGGGCATACAAATGTAAAATTAATTCATTTGTCCATTTGTATTTATTTCTTTACCTAAGGTACTAGGGTTACTGCATTTTTTTTTTTAATTTTTTATTTTTTGTGTTATTTTTTATTTAAAGACCCTGGGGCCCTGGTTTTTAAATACAAATTTGTACAAGTTAAAGGATGTCCTCATTAATTGGGAGGCCAATCCAAGTGTGGGATAATTATTAACAGTTGCTAGGCTGAAAGTAACCTTGGACTTAGCAAATATTTTCTTTAGAAATAGTGAAAATAGCCGGGACCGGTTTGGCTCAATGGATAGAGCGTCGGCTTGGGGACTGAAGGGCCCCGAGTTCGATTCCGGTCAAGGGCATGTACCTTGGTTGCGGGCATATCCCCAGTAGGGGGTGTGCAAGAGGCAACTGATCAATGACTCTCTCTCATTGATGTTTCAAACTCTCTATCTCTCTCCCTTCCACTCTGTACAAAAATCAATAAAATATATTTAAAAAAAAAAAAAAAAAAAAAAGAAATAGTGAAAATTAATAGTATAAACAAGTATTTGAGAGAATTGACCATTTTTAAGTTCTTTAGAGATATATGAAAATTAAACAAAGAACTGATACAATAATAAAAATTCACTTTTGTTTTTTAAAAATTAAATATATTGAGGTAGCAATAAATTTATGTTATTAA